CAAGTATATCGAACGGTATACTCATATACTAGAAGCGCTGATATTCACGAGTGATTTTATCGCCGACCTTCCCACGTCGCCAAGTTAAATCAACGACGCGTCTCCGGTAGTCATTTTTACCACCACAACCCAAAACGTTCTTAAATTCATTGCTGCTACTGCCGCTGCTGCCGCTGCTGCCATGGGTCTTTCTACTGCTGTTGTCTAGCGGATGTCCAAACTTTTTAAACGTCAACTCCGGTGAACTTGGGGAGTAATTCGCCTCCATCGAGGACATGGACACGCCGACTTCGGTGGCCAAGTGGTGGTATTTAATGCTTATGCTGTATGCTGATTTGCTGCAGTTTGTTCTGTTGAGGAACGTCTTGGGATGAACCCCAAGTTAGTTCCAAATACGCAAAAACGAGTCCCATGAGCCCGTCCCTACTGCCATACCATCCTCCGTAACGCCAAGGCAAGATACGCGATTATCATGGCCAGCAAGAATTCCTATAAAATAAAAATAGAACATCTCGAAAGAGGTCATTTCTTTAGATTCTATTTCTGTAGAACATGTGTCTAAAACAATGATATACGATGAATATCACATGTGTACAAATATAGAAGAAATAAAGTATAAATTTAATTTAAAATTTAGAACTATTATAAATTAATTCATGAAATTTTGGCAAGCAAAGTAGTAAAAGATTTTTAAAAAATGATATTAGAGAGAAGGGCTTAATATAAAGTTTCTCTTCTCTCCTCAAGGCAATCCTAAAAATCCAGAAGAGGAACACGTACCAGCTCGTTCAGCTTTCATGGAATCCCAAACATTGCAGTTGAAATCGTCGTAGCCGGCCAGTAATAATCTACCGCTCTTGCTGAATGCTACGCTGGTAATACCGCAAATAATATTGTCGTGACTATACATCGTCAGTTCTTGATCTGCTCTAATATCGAAAAGTCTGCACGTTGCATCATCTGATCCCGTCGCGAAAGCGTATCCATTCGGGAAGAACTAAATAATATGATAATTCACATTAAAAATTTTACTGAATAACTAATTATTGTAATAGACTCTCTTGGGATTATGCGTCGAATATTACAGGTCATATACATTAAGATAAATTAACAACAAAATTGATGCTCAAGCTCTTACCGTAACAGCGTTTATGTCGCTCTCATGACCCGGGAAAGTTTGCTTACAAGATCCTTCACGAATGTCCCACAATTTTGCACTGGCATCACATGCACCGGATACGAATGTACGCGTGTCTGGAGCCAAGGACAGGGACATTACATCGCCCGTATGACCAATGAAGGAGGTACACTGTTGACCAGTTTCTATGTCCCACAGGGCACTAATTTAAAAAGAACATAAATGACGCAGTCCAAACATTTTTCCAGACTACATAATTACCATTCAGAAAGGAAAAACCAAAAACAATAAAGGATGGGTAGGTAGGATGTACATTTTTTTATTGCGCATTCACAATTCTCTTTATGATTTCGTTCTCAGGATATCTTCCTAAAATAAATGGTTAGGCAGATGGTGCAGATTAGGAAAAGTTTCGATCGATGGAGTATCGTGAAAAATAAAAAAGTAAATGTTCCTTACCAAGTCATATCGCCAGAACTAGTGACAATTTGGTTGTCGTCATAGAATCGACAGCAGGACAAGTACCCAGTATGACCTGGGAGTTCTCTGCTAACTCTTACATTTCCTTCCCTAGTTTTAAGACTATAGATGGAACAAATATTATCTAGCCCACCGCAGGCCACGAAACTACCTGATGGCGCGTATGCACAGGTCATTACCCATGAAGAGCGTAAAGGGATCGCGTGAACTTTGTTGGTGGTATAACTGTCCCAGACGATTAGTTTCCCATCCTGCGACGCTGACACTAAGTTTCTGTCAATTAAATAGAACGGCTATAGTTTCTCTTTCATATTTAATTGCCAAGAAAATTGATTCAAAACCGTAATACGTGTACCTTGAGTCACTGCCCCAATGCATCGCATAAATCTTGGCTAAGTGACCACGAAGTGTGCGTCTTGTGCGCATCTGTATCCGGCCAATAGGCTCCATGCCCGACGTGGCCTGAACCAACGTCGTATCGCATGCTGCTTTTCTGGCATCCTAAAATGAACAAAATATGAATAACGTATGAAATTCAATGTACTAATTTACATAGAGCATAGCAGAACGAGGAGTATATTTAAAACTTAATTCAGAATAAATATTTCATATGGAAAAAATTTCGTTTAACCTTATTGAAAGATCAAATGTCAACTCGGACGCGGCAACAAATTAATTTAAGAGGGCGCTCAATGAATTACACACATTTCAAACACAAGCTCGCGAACTCTTAAACAAATTTTAGAATTCCAAGCTTTTCAGCCTGACCTTTCTAAACGAGTGAAAATACGACAATGCATTTAACGAGGTACAATCGTATCCACGGCTCGGTTTAAGAATCCCAATTAACACTGCTTTAACGCTGACGTAAGAAAATGACTAAATCTACAACGGCATTCTCGGTACTCTCGAGGCTCACGTCGAATTACTCTGGATTGTTCATCAATTAAACGTTGGTGAACAGAGAAGATAGTCACGATGTGTATAAATTATTGAAATACTGTTAAAGAGGGTATTTAAGAACATACATTCTATCTATTACGGGCGCACGCCTGACGATGCGTGTAATTTCACGCACGCATCGAAGAAGGGTGAAAGAGAGAAACAGGTGGCGAGAAGGAACAAGATAGAACGTGAGTAAACGAGTAAGAGGAAAAGAGAGAAAGACAGATCGAGCAAGAGAGAGAAGGAACGGTGGCGTATTGATCAGAGTGAAGCGACGGTTATGCCGCGCCCTACCACCACCACACGCTACACCACTACCACCTCTGACAATGAGTTTCACGTTTCCACCACCATACAAGTGGAGAATCCACCGATTGCCATCGACGAGTATTTTTCAAAAGGTAACAACTCTTAACTCCAGTCAATTTTCACGTCGTTATCATCATTCGACGATTAAATTAATAGTACAGTATATTGGAGTAGTATAAAATTATTGGTTTTTAGAACAGAATTCTTTATGTTTGAAATTGGTGTTATGAATGGGATACGCAAGATCAATAATCATCTCGTATACTTAAATAACACATAAGTGTTTTGAAAAAATAAAATAAAGCAAATAAAATAAACTATCTGATAATAACATCTTATATTTTTGTCATAATACTGAATATTAGATTTTTTATTAAAGTTAAGAAAGGTGAACAATTTTTTGAGTATACAAAGATGGATTACAAAAATTGTATAAAAACATAAATATGATGATTTATTATCTTATATTTTTTTATATTTTATTAATAAAATATTAATTAATAAAAATAATAAAAGTGTTGTTTTAAGAAACAATTGTTTGTGATTTTGTTTCAATCTCCTATATGATTTGAGCACGACAAAACCTAAAAAATCGCCGTCTCGTTAGGGGGAGAATAGGGGTCGGTTGTTTAATGCCAAGTGCACTTCGAGCCGAGAGACGCCCTAGACTTTTTCTATTAAGACAATACACTGCTGTTGCATGTAGAACTGTTGCTTTGTCCTTGATGTTTCAGAGATTGCCAGCAAACAAGGAAAGCGTATCAAGTGCCACACACGAATTTCAACTACGAACTAACCCATAGTAAATTACCCAAATTATTGATATGAATCAACGAAAAGTCATAGTTATGTAAAACGTTAAGTATTCGAGTTAAACGAGAACCACCGTCCGATACTATCGCAAAGTCATTATCTCTTAGGGTTTCCAGATAATTCATTGACAGGATATGAAATTCCGTACCGAATAAGTACACTTAATTAACACCATCAAGCGAACTAGCCATGGATAACTATACGGACTATATTGGCTATAATCTCCTCATAGCGGTTACCTAAATCTACAGTTGTTCTTTCCAGATGCTCTATACTACAGTGTACTACTATTCTATCCGAGTAATAAGTAATTCACCCACGTTAAAAGCTACAATTACTGGTGAATTACTTAGATAATTAACTTTCCCCTTTGTTCCAGAAACTGACTTCACTTTCCCGAACACCTAAAAGAAATTCTTTTACGATACGATGGATGAAGCTAATCGTTTATTTTTAACGAAGCACAGAACAACAAAGAAAACTTACTCGAATAGCATTTTTTAGCTTGTCCGCCTCTTGACGAAGGGTTTCGACTTCGCTCATGATGACTGTCTAATGATGCGCTAAGCGTAAATATCCGCGAAGGATGGAAAAAAAACGGTGTTTCTTGAGAAGGAGGCGGTATACCTCCGATGAATCCTAAAATATGATTCTTCGGGAATGGATTAGTCCTATTTGGCGTTTTCTTCTTGCACGAAGGTGGTTGGGGCCCACTGTCACGCCGTCGACGTTTTTTCCGATGACCAATAAATATCGTCAAGTCTTCCACCACCAGGAACGGAAAGGGTAGAAATAAGAACTAGAAGATGATCGAATCTCTTTTTCCAATGACCAGCCTTTCCCAGTCTTTCTCTCTGATCTGTTGCTGTCGCGGCTTCCGTTTCCGCCGCTACCACCGGAACCAGAGCCAGACCACCGCTGACTCTCCCGCCCCACGCGCCAGCTTCGACACCTCCTAGCGAGACCGTTGCCACCCCTGAAACCAGAATCACACAAATTATTGGTAATAGCTTGCTTTCAATTTATTCCTTCTTTTTCTTTTCATTCAAGGGATTTACAGTGGAGTTTTAGAAATTTAAATTTATCCAGAGGAAAGGGTGATTCTCATACGAGTGGTTTAGATTCAGAATGGCTTATTCGATGTACAAAATGGTTCATTTCCTCCAGATAACTAGATAAATAGAAAATTTCTCAAAGTTTATCTTTGAAGTGCAGAATTGTAGAATACAAAATCATAAACATACTTGAATAAAAGATATATTTCAAGTTACACTGTCAAGATCAAACGACGGAAGAATATATTCTAAGTTTAGAATACATTTTCACAAAAGAAATACTTATTAGTTTTTATATTCCATCGCCAGAAAGGCTACGGTGCAGTGTAATGGTTATTACAATTTTATTATTCTATTTTTATCCAACCTGCCACATTCGTTGACAGATTCGTGTCACGGTCAACATGTTTCTTTGTTTGTGCATTAATGGAGCGTCATTAATCTTCCATTGTTGGGTAAAAAAGTATAGTGTTCTCAATATCGGCGAGAATCAATTCTTATTTTTTCTAACTTCTATAGAAATTCCCATGTCCTTTCAACATCAAAAAAAAAAAAAAAAAA